TCTGAAAATTACTCAAATCGGATTCCAAGATTTGTTTCCTTGATCAAACAGAGGAAAAAAGAAAATGGCAACAATGCCATTAGTCACTGTAACAGCTTCAAAGACAGGCAAGCGACTTGTACGTCACCATGTAGCTCGCCCCTCAAACATCAGCTAAGCTTCTTAATGGTTATGTGTTTACGAAAACCACAATCAAGTAGAAGACAAGACAGACTGGTTCGGGACCATTAGAAAACAATGCGATTGTGACCGTGTTAATCAAGCTAACTAACGAGAGTGAGTCTGCCGATATACAGGAAGTTGTGTTTTCTGCACAGTGACTTGGACATGTGTGACGTACTCCCGCCAATGGGCAGCAAAAAAAAAATCAATCATCAATCAAGCGTAAGCGGTCACCTGTGGATCATGTTGTGAGAGTGAAGGTAGGCCAGCCCCTGCAGCGCTCCGTGAGTAATAGCAGCAATCTCCACCTCCTGCAGAGGCTTTTTGTGAACTGCAAACAACAACCGTGTTGGATGCCAATTAAAAAAAATAATCGTGTGGCAGTCACTAGGACGGGCCGACCTTCGCAGTAAGACTCACCTTCAAGGAGGTCGGAGGCGGATCCGAGGCAGTACTCCATCACCAACTGCACACAGAGTAGACGTGGTTTGAAAAACGAATCTTGAAAACGTTCCGTCCCGAAACCATGTTTGAATCTCAACTTCATACTTATTTTCGCATTATTGCATGAAGTTGAATATCACATTGTATGGAAGTTGCCTCTTAATCTGCTTTGGAGCCTGTGGTTTGGAATTTTGGCCTGTTTTACTTCAGCTTCTCCCCCCTACTCCTGCTTGGAGTGAGGGATAGGTGGTGATGACGTATGGATTCAACACCGACCAACTAGGCCAAAATCTGAAGTGGGGGAGATGTAGTGAAGGATTCCGCATGGACTGACCGGGTCGGATCCTGAGGTCAAACCGATCTCCCAAATGTGTCAACCTGCAGCACTTCATCTCATGTAATGGACTCTTATGCTG